CTATTTCCTGACCCACTGAAGCTAGAGGCTTTTCTTCACTCAGACAGCTGCTGGCTGCTGAGGCTGAGAAGTCCAAGGTTGAAAAATAAAATGGGACAGTCCTGATGTTACCAAACCACATGGCAGGCCATTAATTTAAGTCCACTGTAAGTCCCAAGGTCAACAGAGCATGGCAAGTTGCTGAACGATGACATGGCTACATGCAGGGTCCAAGCATGCCATAAGCTAGAGACTATCCCCACGGCTTCTCCTTATATACAGGAAGCAGACCACATCCAAAAGGCAGCTACTCAGCTGCTTGTGGTAGATCCCACCATGGAGTTGATTGCCAGTTCCATCATGGGGAATAACTACCACCAGCTGCTCAGCCATTCAACCAGGCCCAGTCAAGGTGACATATAAACTTAACTACCACAGAAATTGCCAAGGATTTCATTTTACTTGGATCCACAATCAACATCTATGGAAACAGCAGTCAGGATATCAAACAATGTATTGTACTGGGAAGATTTGCTGCAAAAGACCTCCTCGAAGTGTTAAAGAGCAAAGATGTCACTTTGAAGACTAAGGTGCGCCTGACCCAACATGGTATTTCCAATAGTCTCATATGTGTGTGAGAGCTGGAAAATGAATAAGGAAGACTTCATCTTTTATACTTTGGTCATTTTGTCAGAAGGACAAATCTCTGGAGAAGAATATCATGCTAGGTAAAGCAGAGGGTCAGCTAAAAAGGGGAAGACTCTCAACGAGATGGATTGACATGGTGGCTGCAATGATGGGCTCAAGCATCGCAAGGATTAGGAGGATGGCACAGCACTGGGAGGTATTTCATTCTATTGTGCTAGGGTTGCTATGAGTTGAAACCACCTGATGTCACCAAACAACAACAACAATGTGTATTACATATGCACTGTACAAATAAGAGTAGCCCTGATGGTGCAGTTGTTAAGCTCTCGGCTGCTAACCCAAAGGTCTGCAATTTAAAGCCACCTGCTGCTCTGTGAGGGAAGGATGTGGCCTTCTGCTTTCATAAACATTTACAGCCTTGGAAATCCTATGAGACAGTTCTACTCTGTCATATAGCATTGCTATGAGTCAGAAGTGACTTGACAGCAATGAGTGTACAAATAAAAAGTACAAAAGTATTTATAGTGAAAAATAAGTCTCCATTCAACCCTTGCCTCCCAATCATCCTGTTTCCCTTTCAGGATGCAATCACTGTGTCCAAGTATATATCTTCCAGAGACAGTCTATTTACATAATAAGTAAAAACCTGCTTAAAAACTATAAATAGTAGCATTCCATATAGTGTTCTGACTTTTCTTTTTTTATTTAACATGTCTTAAAGAGCCTATCATAGCAATGGATGGAGAACTGGCTCATTCTTTTTTCAAAAGATGTCTAATATAAAGGGTGTTTTAGTTCAGAAATTATATGTAGTTTGTTCTTGCCAGTTCAATAGTGGAGCTTATGACAAGATTACGTTAGTTTTCTGGGCTTTAGTGTCAAATAGTTCAAAGTTTGAACATTTTCTCTCCCTTGGGTCTCTATTTTCTCTACTAAGATTCCTCATTCTATGCCTCTCCAGTTCCCATCTGTGATAGTTAAGGTTGTGTGTCAACTTGGTTGGGCCTGGTTTTGAGTGGCTGGACAGCTGGTTGTAGTTACTCCCCATGATGAGACTGGTAATCAATTCCATGGCGGAATTTTTATTTTATTTTATTTTGATTTGGGTGAAGATTTACAGAGCAAATTCACTTTCCATACAGCAGTTCACATATACATTGTCGCATGTCATGACCACAGTTACCACAATGTAGCAGCTCCCCTCCCACTTCCTCCCCATAGTTACCTCTTCCCGGTGTCCATCCCTCCATACACTCCTGCCACCTAAGCTGTCTTCCTGTGCATAAGCAGCCCTTCCTTCTCCCATGATTGTTCTCTCTAGGGAATGTATCTACTTGAGGTAAATGTTTAATTCACATGCCTGTACCTTGTTTGGCTGAATAGATTTGATGCATGAGCACCAGTGACCAAAAACCAAAGGAATTGTGGGATGACATCAAGAACATCATCCGTGAAGAAAGCAAGAGGTCATTAAAAAGACAAGAAAGGAAGAAAAGAACAAAATGGATGTCAGAAGAGACTCTGAAACTTGCCTTTGAATGGAAAGTAGCTAAAGCAAATGGAAGAAATGACAAGATAAAAGAGCTGAACAGAAGATTTCAAGGAGCAGCTCAAAAAGACAAGGCCAATTATTATAATGAAATGTGTAAAAACCTGGAGTTAGAAAAACAAAAGGGGAGAACACACTTGCCTGTTTTGAAGAACTGAGGGAAAAAATTAAGCCTGGAATTTCAATATTGAAAGATTCTATGGGCAAAATATTGAATGATACAGGAAACATCAAAAGAAGATGGAAGGAATACACAGCGTCACTGTTCAAAAAGAATTGGTTGACATTCATCCATTTCAGGAGGTGGCATATGATCAAGAACCAATGGTATTGAAGGAACAAGTCAATGTTGCACTGAAGGAATTGACGAAGAACAAGGCTCCAGGAACTGATGGACTACTTATTAAGATGCTTCAACAAATAGATACTGTGCTGGAGGCACTCACATGGCTATGCCAAGAGATGTGGAAGACAGCTACCTGGCCAACTGAATGGAAGAGGTCCATATTTGTACCCATTGTAAAGAAAGGTGATATCACAGAATGCAGAAATTATCAAACAATATCACTAATATCACAAGCAATTAAAATCTTACTGAAGATAATTCAAAAATGGCTGTAGCAGTATATTGACTGAGAACTTCCAGAAATGGAAGCTGGATCCAGAAGAGGAATGGATCTGTCCTGAAGTATCTGGACATTGCTGATGTCAGTTGGATCTTAGCTGAAAACAAAGAATACCAGAAATATGTTTACTTATGTTTTATTGACTATGCAAAAGCATTCTATTGTGTGGATCATAACAAATTGTGGATAACATTGATAAGAATGGGAGTTCCAGAACATTTGATTGTACTCATGAGGAACCTGTACATAGATTAGGAGGTTGTCGTTTGAACAGAACAAGGGAATACTGCATGGTTCAAAATCAAGAAAGGAGTGTGTCAAGGTTATATCCTTTCACCATACTTATTCAACTTGTATGCTGAGCAAATAATCTGAGAAGCTGTATTATACACATAAGCACATGGCATCAGTGTTGGAGGAAGACTTATTAACAACCTTCAATATGCAGATGACACAACTTTCCTTGCTGAAAGTGAGGATGACTTGAAGCACTTACTGATGAAGATTGAAGACTATAGTCTGAAGTATGGATTACACCTCCATATAAAGAAAAGAAAATCCTCACAATTGGTCCAATAAACAGCTTCAAAATAAATGGAGAAAAGACTGAAGTTGTCAAGGACTTCATGTTACTTGGTTCTACAATAAACACCAATGGAAGCAGCAGTCAAGACATCAGATGATGTATTGCATTGGGTAAATCTGCTGCAAAAGACCTCTTTAAAGTGATGAAGTACAAAGATGTCTCTTTGAAGACCAAGGTGTGCCTAACCCAAGCCATGGTATTTTCAATCACCTCTTACTCTTGTGAGAACTGGACAATGAATAAGGAAGACCAAAGAAGAGTTGATGGTTTTGAGCTGTGGTGTTGGAGAAGAATGCTAAGAGTACCATGGTCTGCTAAACAGAATGACAAACCTGTCCTGGGAAAAGTACAACCAGAATTCTCCTTGGAAGCAAAAATGGCCAGACTTTGTCTCACCTACTTTGGTCATGTTGTCAGAAGGAACCATACCCAGGAGGATATCATGCTTGGTAAAGTGGAGGGTCAATGATGAAGAGGAAGGCCCTCAACAAGATGGATTGACACAGTGGCTGTAACTATGGGCTTAGGTATAGCAAGGATTGTGAGGCTGACACAGGACTGGGCAGTGTTTTGTTCTGCTGTGCATAGGGTTGCGATGAGCCAGAGATGACTCAATGATACCTAACAACAACAACAACAACAACCTGTAAGAAAATAAATCCCTGTTTATTGAAGCCACCCATTTGTGGTATTTTTTGTTAGAGCGACACAAGAGGTAACTAAAACATTGTCTGAGGTCTGCCACTTATCTAACTTAGTCATCTGGTCTCCATTTTTGATGAGTCAAATGGAAATGAACCCAGATGATGTAGCTCAGGTGTTAAAAGATGAAATAAAACAAAATGTGTAGTACTGAAGACTTGTTGAATACTTGAGATTTGAAGGTATGTGTGTACATCTTATTCCTAATTAATTGCATCTAGATTCACCTTTCCCTAGCAAATGCATTTGCATTTGGTAAGAAGGATAAATGCAATATTATTAGCTCATTATATTAAGATTAGGAGCTCTAGTGGTGTAGTGCCTAAGGCATTTGACTGCTAACCAGAAGTCTGGCAGTTCAAACTCATCAGGCACTCCTCAGAAGGAAGATTGGGCAATCTACTTCTTTAGTGATACCACCACCTCAGAAACCCAAGGAGTTGGATCTGGCTTGAGGGCAGTCAGTTTGTTGTTGTTGTTATTATTATTATTATTAAGATATGTACACACCTCTGGGACTAAGAAGTCATATTCTCTCAGATCATTAATTCACAAGGACAGGGCACTCATACCCTTTCTGATGCAAACTCTCTTTTCTCTTGAGGTACACCAGACAGACACATTTGCCAAGGATAACTGAGAACATGAGGGCAGTCTACAGTTTGTGCAGGCTGTGTCCTAAAAGTAACTCTGAAACACATCCTATAAATAGCAGCTCATTGTCAGAGTGTGAAAAGACAAGAGTGAGTGTGCCTTGATATGATTCAGGCCTCATTAAGTGGGTGGGGCTATACCCGAACAGCTGCTCCAGCTGATAATTTAGTCAGTAGGCAACTGGGAGGGTTCGCTGGTGGAACCTGACAGAAAGTACACGGAAGAGAAGCTGCTCAATGCTCTTTTGTCCTCCACCATGGCAAAAATCATTCTCAGGCACCTCATAGATACTCCAGTGCGTTACCAGGAGGAGTTTGAGGCTCGAGGTTTGGAAGACTGCAGGCTGGACCATGCTTTATATGCACTGCCTGGGCCAACCATTGTGGACTTGGGAAAAGTCAAGGCTGCCCAAGCTCCTCAAGCAGACTCAGTGGCTCAGATGCCACTGCAAGAAGGTCACTCCCGCTTTCAGATCTTGCTGGATGTGGTCCAGTTCCTCCCTGAAGATATCATCATTCAGACCTTCGAAGGCTGGCTGCTGATTAAGGCTCAACATGGAACTAGAATGGACGAACATGGCTTTATCTCGAGAAGCTTTACTCGACAGTACAAGCTGCCAGATGGCACTGAAACCAAGGATGTGTCCGCAATCCTCTGCCATGATGGAATTTTGGTGGTGGAAGTCAAGGATCCAGCTGGGACTAAGTGAAACGTTGTTGGTCCTGTTAACACAGCCTGAGGGAGATTAGAGTTCCACCAGTAGTACGATGTGAATGTTTATATTTCCCATGTTTGAAATAATTCACCATGATTTCTATGAAGATTAAAAATATATGCATAGTTCCTGGTATGTTGAGGTTGTCTTTATTGTTCTAACTCAGGAAAAAATTTTCAATATTGTGCCTACAACTCAAAGCTATGCTATTCTTGCAACTGAACATTGACAATTTAGAAGCCTTATAGTTTTGTACTAGAGAAGGCTTAATTATTTCTCCATTAGTCTAACATTGCAAGGAGGGCTGCATTTATAATAATCAACTGCAAAAGAACTGTTCTAATATAAAGATTTCTAATCTATTTTAGAAAAACTGTATTGCTGAAAAGAGTTGTACTTTGCTCACTTAATAACCTTTCCTTTTCAGTGCACTTTAGTTAAAGTGGAGCATCTTAATATAGAGTCTGAAGGTTAAAAATACAGTACTTGGAAATTGGATCTGCAATCTAATTATGGTTCACTATAGTTGTCTCTGCTTTCACCTTCAGTTGGAATTTTCAGATAGAAAATCTTATTTTTTAAAAAATGCTAAATATGTACTTCATTCCTTTTTTTTCCCCCTAGCTGAACTGTATCCAACCTGTTTTCTGTTAATAGCATGTGTTCACTAGATATCCATGAAATGTTGATGTATATTAATCCATACTCTTATGAATTAAGTGTAGGAAACCATCTTAAAAAGTATAACTACTGAACTCAGAGAGTATTAATCTACGTTACTTTCAGTTTTAGATTTCAGAAGATGGTGAAATGTGACGCATCTGTGGTCACTGCATCATCCTTAGCTTTAAATAGCCTGGCAGCCAGTGGATGCCTAAATTGACACAGCACGTCTGGGTTTACACAGCCCTTCTGATGATGACTGCTTATATTCTCCTGAACTGCAATGAAATGGGTTGAGACCATGGTAGAGATTAAACATTTGCTTTAGGAATATTGCCTTCGACAGCTGGTCTATGACATTCCCAAGATTTGCTATGTCATTCTGTCCATACTATGTATTTCTTCTCAGAAAGTAACTGCTTCCACCTTAGCCCTCAACCAATGGGAGCTGACAATAAGCCTGAGGACAGTGCTATGAATAGAAGAGGAATGTGGGGTGTGGAAAGCACCCAGCTACATGCAGACTACTGACAATATCACTGTACTCCTTGGTACTGCTTTATTTGTAGTTGATGAAATTAAAACATGAAACACACGATGCGGTAAACAAATAATCCAAATCAAACAGTTCAACAAGTAATTTTGAAATCAGATGTAATCTGAGAGGGTTGTTTGTTTGCTATGTAATTACATCAAAAGGATTGTAAATATTTATATGAGATTGATGCCCATATGGAGTAACTGAGAGGCACAAACTTATGTACTCCACTGCTAACTGAAAGGTTGGAAGTTCAAGTCCATCCAGGCCACCATAGAAAGGCCTTGCAATTTGCTATTGAAAACCCTATGGAGCCTCATTCTACTCTGACACACACAGAGCCACCATGAGTCAGAATCGATTTGATGGCAAGTGGTTTGAATGCCTATGCACTGAGGCTTGTGCATCCCACTCTAGGATAAGAAATTTTGTTTGGCAAAGTGATTACCACAGATTAACTTTGCTACATGACAAAGTTAATCTAGAGCAAGATTCTAGATATACTAAATGATTAGAACTGTGATGCCATTTGTGTCACATTAGATTATTTTTCTTTCCCATTGATTGACAGAATAGTGTGAAAAAAACTGGTGTACTGAGAAAGAAGGAAAACTCTCATTTGACCTGGATCTTACTCTAAATGAGAACTTGTTTTGGGGGGAATATTGGGAACTGAAATTGTTATCTTAAGGAACCACTGAGTAGGATACATTTTCTTTAAAAATTAAAATAATGACTCTCCAATTAGTATTTACCTTTTAAAGACAAATATTAAAGTAATAAATAGTCACTGTATTGATTTGGAAAATATACCAAAAACTATAGAGAAAATAGAAACCAATTATTATACTTCTAATACCATGAAGTAGCTACTTTAAATATCAGTCTTCTCTTATATGTAAATAAATGTATTACTTTTCAAAAACCTGGGTTCATATTTGCATAGAGTTTGATATACTTGTACTGGTTGTAGAGTAATTGTCTATTGCCCTTTCCATTCCCACCAACCCAAACCCTTTCTCTGCATTTTTTGCCTAGCTCTGAGCCCATGCAGGCTGACCTCTATGGACTACATCAATTTAGTTTCTAATTGGGGTTACTGAATGGAATGTACCAGCTGGAGACCAGAGATGGGAGTCAGAAGATTGGTGGGTAGGTAGGGTGATGGGAGGAGACAGAAGATAGTGGGTAGGGTAATTCACTGACTCCTAACCTGCTGCAGACTGAGGCTCTGGCAGGGGCTGCCTCCTTTCATAGCTATAGCTCTGCAGAGACTGGTGATCCTCTATGGTTTTCATTTTCACTGGGCCTCAGCATGGGAACACTGTGTGTTTCTTTAGTTCTTTGAGCAGGAAGGATGGTGATGTTCTCCCTGCTCTTTCTTGTCCCTGGTCCTTCACTATCCCTTATTGATGCTCTTTGCTTTACTCACTGTTCAGTAAACATTTCTTTGCTAAAGTCCCTGAGGTGATGGAATTTTGTTTCCTGCCAGAATTCTTGAATTTTTTTCTCTTGACTTTTTCTTTAATTTTCTTGTGATAAAATACATATAATAAAATATTTGCCATTTTCACCACTTCAAAAGTGTACCATTCAGTGATACATTCTGATTCATTCATCACGTTATACAACCGTCACCACTATCTATTTCCAAAAGTTTTCCATCACCCCAAACAGAAACTCAGTACCCCTTAAAGAAGGGGTTGCTATGAGTTGAAATTGACTTGACAGCAGTGAGTTTGGTTTGGGTTTTTTATGTATAGACCACATTTTGTTTATGCATTCATCTGTTAACTGACACTTAGGTTGTTTTCACTGTTTGGCTGTTGTGAATAGTGCTGCAATGAACAATGGTGTACAAGTATCTGAGTCCCTGCTTTCAAGTCTTTTGAGTATATACCTAGGAGTGGAATTGCTGGGTCATATGATATTCTGTGTTTAACTTTTTAAGTAACTGCTGAACTGTTTTCCACAGAGACTGCATCGTTTTACATTTCCACCAGCAGTGGATAAAGGTTTCAGTTTCTCCGTATTCTTGCCAACATTTATCATTTGTTTTCTGATAATAGCCAACCTAGCGAGGGTGAAGTTGTATCTCACTGTGGTTTTGAGTTTCAATTTCCTAGTAAATAATGGCATTGAGCATATTTTCATGTGTTTATTGACCACTTGTATGTCTTCTTTGGAGAAATGTCTATTCAAGTCCTTTGCTCATTTTTTTTTAAATTTATTTTTTATCTCTTGTTTGTTTTAGGAGTTCTTTATATATTCTGGATATAAAACCCTTATCAGGTACATGGTTGTCAAATATTTTCTCCTATTCTGTGGATAAAATGTTCACTTTATTGATAAAGTACTTTAATGCACACAAGTTCTTAATTTCACTGAAGTTCAATTTATCTATTTTTCCTTTTGGTGCTTATGCTTTTGTTTTCATATCTAATAATTCATTGTTAAAAACTAGGCCTTAAAGCATCAACCCTATGTTTTTGTCTAAGAATTTTATGGTTTCAATTCTTACTTTGATCCATTTTCAGTTACTTTTTATATATGGTGTGAGGTATGGGTCCAGGTTCATTGTTTCGGATATAGAGATGCAATTGTTCCACTGCAATTTGCTGAAGAGACTATTATTTCCCCATTGGATGACTTGGCATCCTAGTTTAAAATCAATTGGCCATAGATGTATGAGTTTATTTCTGAACTCTCAATTCTATTCAATTTGTCTATGTATCTATTCTTACACCAATACCAGACTATTTTGATTATAATAGCTCTATAGCATTTGACATTTTAAGTGATTAGAAAAAATCATGGGAGCTCTGGTGGCTTAGTGCCTAAGGCATTTGACTGCTGACCAGAAGGCTGGTGGTTTAAACCCACCATAAACTCTCAGAATGAAGGTTGGGCAATCTACTTCCGTAGTGTTACCACCTTGGAAACCTAAGGAGGGGTTGCTTGCTGTGAGTCAGAATCAACTTGATGCCAGTGAGTTTAGTGTATCACTTCCTTTGCTACCAACCATAAACTAAAAATCTGATTTATAATGACTATATACTTTTCCAACATCGATAAACTATTATAATTTAGCCAACCCTTTAAATTTAATACAGTTTATCCATGTTGGAATAGTATATAATCTTTTTCCTCATCAGAATCTCAACAGGAAACAGATAGCACTCTCCAATTAGAATAATTCAAGAAGTGTTTATTTATAGAGATGCTAATTACAAAGGAGTGGACAGGGTGTAGAGGAGTCTGAAAGGAATGTGTAGTAACTTGAGGGTAGCAGTTTGAAGCTGTATGTCCCCTAGGTTTAAAGGGATGAGGGAAGGACATTCTCAGAAATCAAAAAGAATGTCCTGTTCAGGAGACTACTGTGAAAGGAGGCTTCCAGGGTGGTGCAAACAGTTAACTGTTTACAAGCCAATAGATTGGAATGCACCCAGAGGCACTTCAGAAGACGGTCCTGGCAGTCTGCTTACAAAAGGTCATGGTCTTGTGTGTGTGTGTGTGTGTGTGTGTGTGTGTGTGATTTGTGCAAAAGTTTCCAGAGCAAATTGGTTTTCCATTCAACAACCCATACACATCCTGTTTTGTGACATTTACTGCAGTCCTCACACTGTAACAGCATTCTTCCCACTTCTTCCCTTCACCCACTCCCTTGGTTCCTGCTTCCCATCTCTTTCCACCTTTCTAGCTCTGCCCCTGGGCAAATGCTGTCCTCTTGATCTCATATGCTTGATTGTTGTGATGAATGCATACTCTCCTGATATTACTGTTCACCTTATAA